TCCTACTTGGCAACCATCAAGCGTGGCTTTCCGGGGGCAAAGCAGAAATCCCCTGTTTAGTGACTGATCGCTAAGCGACTGCCATTTGAGGTTGAGTTTATTGCTATTGCACCCCGTATCGACAAACTGATGATTTGTCCATCGTACAAATAGCCGCAGCACGGCACAGCTTCCGATAATAGACAATGGTTTAAACCGGATCAAAAAGCAAGGAGATAAGCAATCGAATAGTGCAATGGCTGGCTGCAATACAACCTGCAGCTTGACTGGAGAAAGAAGTTTTAGCGGATGTTGCCGACCACGGTGAATGGACGGGGAAGAGTCATTGGGACGGAAAAACTACAAACGGGCATCCACAATTGGAGCCCTCTAACTCTGGAACGGGCTGATTGCTGAGTCCTGGGCTCCGTTGGAAGGTGCAAACTCGGGAATCGATGAAAGATAAAACGCTGAGACTGAGAAGGTGGGAAAAAGGCGGATAGACTCCCTGGCGACTACTGACACCTGGTACCTTAAAGCTTGAGGTTGCTTTCCGACCCGGATATTTATCCCTTCTTGCTAACAACAATAATTATAATTATTCGGTCATGACCTGACCTTGTCACTAAATCACTGACTGCCTATCTACCCAAGAACCCCGTGAAACAAGTCTTAGAGGAGCAAAAGAGAGCCAGGACCGAGAAAATACTGGACAAGCACCGCCCGATGGCACCATCAGGACCCGTCTATTGGCGATGCGCCATTTCGATAGAGCCACAGCCGGCTAAGATCCTTGACCTTCATCTTTCTCCTGGAAGAGCTATCTGACTGGAGTAATGAGTCAGTTCCGTTCATCTCATTATAAGGAAAGTCAATCTCGTCATGGTCAACTCTGTCTCCAGTATCTGTCTCGTCTGCTGTTGGCCTATTTAACTCATCTGGTTGGACTTCCACTTCCATCTCCATGAAATCGTTTGTGTCCAGAGTCTTCATGTCTTTTCCTAACGTGAACATGGTATCTAGATGGTGCTGGATGAATTGATGACCGGAACCAGGCCGCACGAAGACTCGTCCCATGTATCGATTAGGAATATTGGCAAAGTTCAATATCCCCCACACGCTCACACAGTCCTCGGAGTTTGCATAGTGCTCAATTCGACGAATGGTTTTTGTACCTATTGCTGCCGGGCTGACCTGTGGACTTTCGCCTTCGGATTCATTCCGACGAGCATGAGACAAGGTTTTAAACGGATTGTTAAAATGGTTCGCCGCATTACCGAAGGTATAGACCTCGAGATCCTGCAGCAACTCTCGAGGCATCTCGTCCAGTAACCAGTCAATGACCAAGCCGCCCTCGATTCCACCTTGGCTATGAAGAATGAGGATCACCTTCTTGTATTTTGGATTCAACAAGTTCTCCTTGATGATCGCGTACGCATCCCTCACGTCCGACGTGGCGTAGGAGAAATTCCTTTGAATCAAGCACTCGATAATATCGAAAACGATCCCCATTCTACAGGTTTTTCGTCCTGGGTCACCAAAGCCACACTGATGTTTGAAGGCGGTATAGAGAACCTACGTTGAATTGTGAACGCCGGTAATATTTCTGCCAAATGTATATGCCAGCCGGTCAAGGCTACTCTGCAGCCAGTGATATCTTAAAGCAATCGCATGAGTTGCATGATCCCTGTGGGACATTTGAGGACTCACCCGGCTCCGACTCCATTAATGAAGACCCATTGCTCACGGTCGTGTTCCGGACGATGTTCGACGGGAACTTGCGACTGCAAAATCCTGGCACTCCCATTCAAGGCAAACCTGCATATTACCCAATTCAAAGTCAAAGCGATTGTTATATAAATCCCGATCCCCAGAGCCGGGAAGGCGAGAATAAACAAAATGGGCAGTGACAAGAGAAAGATGAGCTGATAGACAGCCAGAAATATATGTACGACGATGTCCCATAAATTCTCCTTGGACGGATAGAGTTCGTCCAAGGCTCCCGAGTTCCATGGCGTCAAAGGTAGTATTATACCAGGCAGGCTCCAGAGTCTCCGTAGGAAAAGAAGAATGTCAGCCCACAACAATTTCCATGGCGATGCTGTGTATGGTAATGGCACATCTTGTTTCTTTCTGGACTGGGAGGGAAGATATGTGACGACCATACTTGGCTTAAGTGGCTCCTTGATAATTTATTTCAGTTCATATAGCGAATGTGATGGATCAGATCGCATCTGTCGTTTGATGTGTTCGTGGACTCGGGAGTGACGAGAGTATCGAGGGTGTTCATATATCTTTGTATGTTGAACGGAAGGTTAAGCGCGTACGGGGCCTCGTGATGCGATCATCTACACGCTTGCCAGTCGTGTTCATGACTGAAGGCTTGGCTGCCCTACCACGCTCGAGTCAGAGTAACATAGCCTGGTCAATGGTCGTCTGTCCTTCCAAAAGCGATCGAGGTTTCAATCTGCAAGAGATTTTTAGCATGTCTCTTAGTGATGGTGCTGACCCGGGATGTCTCAGACAGGTTTTTCCTCATTTGGAGATATCTATTGGGCAGCTCAGTCACAGCGGCCAGGCGAAAGAACTACAACAAAGAAATGATGGATATGGAATATGTCTCTGGATCTCTATTCCCCGCGGCGTGTTCTTTGTTGACGTTGTCTTAGACACTTCCTTTGAACACTACAAGCCCGGACAGAGACAATAGCATTGACAACAGAAAGCCTTTGTCTTGAGGCTTTCCTGTCAAGTATAAAATGGCTTCACCATATCATGCCCCTCTTTGCAAAGCATCTTCTCGTTATCCACCACTTCAACGTTATCAACTGCTTCTTCACCATCATCAGAACTTCGACCTTGTCCTTACCCAACTACAGCACCTTGCACGTACCTACAACAGCAGAGAGACAACCCTGTGCGTTCTTTAATTCTAATTGCCAACTAGAAAGAGCAGACGCTTGCTATATCGAGACTTCGTCATATCGCTTGAGACAGCTCTATCTAAAGCCTGCTTAAGAGATTGGACAAGACCGGGCCATGATGCAGCGCGCAATTCAGATGAGGTACCCTCTGATGGCCACTGACCTCAAGAAAACCCAATTGGCAATGCTAATTCAAGTTTTGAACCTACAGCATTCGGTATACTATACCCACGACAATATGGGACGACTTCTCGAAGTGCGCAGCGAATTGATACACCACGCCATCAAGAACCTCCCTTCTGAGCTTCGGAAGTCCACATTGCTCCAAATCCTGCCAAGTTCCGTCATTCGCGCCGCGGAGCTGTGTCCCTCGCACCAGGGATTCAATCCCTATGTCATTGCGAACATCTGCAGCCTGATCAGAAAGGAAGTCACCGAGCATCTGGATGTCATTGACTGGTACTCAGATAACCTCGACCAAAGCCATGTCAGGCTACTACGCGCGCTGCAATCCATGCAAGGCATGTGGTCTCTGGTCCCTCTGGGTACCCGTCCTCCGCCTATAGCCCCGGCACCTTACCAGGAGAACAGATGCGAAGCATGTATCTTGGCAAGGGTAGTCCGGGAGCCGATGTTCCTGCAGAACATTCGGGTCGCACTCATCAGTCGGACTAGAACTAGATCCAAACATCGTGCGCCTAGGCTGCTGGCGTTTATCGACCAGGCTATCCACTATTACGGGGACCGCGCCCTGCAGTACTGGCACGCAAGCGGTCAAGCGGCTTTCGATTTCAAGGCTGCCAGAAAAGCGGCCGTGAGAGCATATAAGAAGCGCCCAGAGCGCATTCATCGCCGCGAGGACTACACTGATCACCTGCGCAAGCACCCGAAGAACAAAGGCAAGTCCATCAGAATGGAGCCCGGACAGCCAGAGCCAGCTGGATACGCGGAGGCATCCGGCTATGCAACGAGTCGACGTAGTGATGATGTTGATATGCAATCCATCATCGTCTACATGGACCACAGCTCCGCCGAGCAGCAAGGCTTACACCGGAACCCCAGCCAAGGAGCCAAGGTGCACTCTCACCGCGCAGAGATCGTCAATGAACGGGATACGATCGCCGACGAGATCATCGCAACCTACGAAGCCTTCGGAGCAAGAGACTGGGCACCCCGTTCCACCACGAAACTGCCTGCCGGAGTGCCCACTGTCCATCCCCTGTCCGTCCCTAGGGTCGATCACTCGGTGATCTCGGCGTCTCACTACGATGAGGACCACCCCATGGGCGAAGCAAGCTACATCGCTCCGCGCAACAATTCGAACTGGCAGAGTGCCGCTAACGGAGCCACGCTCGGCACTTTGGAAGCCCTGTCGAAGGAGGTCGAGGGCCTGACGCTTGGAGGGCGCCTGGGCGAAAACAGCGAAGAGCTTGCGGGTCGATATTGCGATCTGCTGAGCCCAGTGGCGTATCACTCTGACTCGGAATATAGCGCGGCATCTTGGGAGGACGCCCCCGTACGTGAGGCTGGGCCTGGAGATACCACCTGGGACCTTGTGTGCAAAGAGGGTTATTGACAGCTTCTTTCCGAGTCAGTAGCTGGGACAGTGCCCGAGATGTGTCATGTGGCGAGTGCTCGCATAATTCAGAAAAGGGGGGAAGCATTGGAGGAATTGAAAACTTCTCACGTGAATGAGTATGAGGACGACTGGGAGATTGGTTTTTCGGGGTTGTTCCAAGAAAACTCGAAGGGTGCACATCGAAAGCAAGACAGACAGACGAGAGGACACGGGAGGACGTTTGAAGTTTTGTTTCGACTGCAGTTTCGGAGTTTGGGATCGGCGATTTGAGAAATATACACATTGCATTGAGTAAAGATATTCATCAAAGAAAACTCATGATACAGGCCAAAGGACCAAGAATGCATGATCCACATATTAGTACAGTATGATTCAGTACAAGGTAGAGAATGGCTAAGAATAACCTCTTTCGCATCGATCGAAGACGTCCAGCAGCTTCAGTTCTTCCATGCGTGAGTTAAAAGACGTAAAAATATTATAAACTTAATGATGCAAATTCCGAAATGGATGATGAATAATCAGGCCTGAAGGACACTGCTGGTCACTCCATGATTGACACCCTTTAGACCGTCGACATGGGGAGACAGAGTCACAGTTTTCCTGCGCAAACGTGCTCGTGCATTGGAGTCGGCTGGCGCGTCTGTCGACATGACTGGGCCCTCGTATGAATTCTCTTCACTGGAAGATGCTGCAGCTGAAGAGGCATCCTGATCGAGTTTTTTCTGTGCGGCCTCTCGAGATCTTTCGTAGCGGAGTTTGACGTCACCTTCCCACTGAGTATTAAAAAGACGATCCCAAAAAGTGAAGAATGGCTGAGAGAAGTTCGTCTTAATACCCCAGCTTTGGTGGTGAATGTCGTGGTAGGCAGCATTGTTGTGAGTAAAGTGTTGCAAAGGATCCCAAGGGAAAGCATAGCCGCAATGATCGTCTACAGTCTTGATAGTGGAGCAAGTGAAGAACCACATGCTCTGACGGTTCGTCATGCGCGTTGCCAGAAACGCAATGCCAGCACCAGCTGTATCAAGGAGGAAGCCTTCCACTGGGTGATTATAGAGTGCGCCGAAAGCGTATGGGACATAAAGGCGATGATGGCGAGAGTGGAAAGTGACTGTAAAGTGTCAGTCATGTCTCCCAAGCGCTTCAAAAGTTTCGGGGACGAAACAAAGCATCAAAGTACATACCGTAAAGCCAGCGGTTCAGATGCATCGCACGGTGGAGGAAATATTGCCAAGTATCGACGATAAACACTCCCACTGTGAACTGTACCGCAGGGATAAAGCACCAGTAGATGAAACTGGCCATTGACAGCTCCCAACTGGTGAAAGCAGGTACGACCGCTTCGATACCGCTGTCCAGAACAAAAGACCGAGTTACTCCGGGGTATTGTCCGCCAGCTAGTACACCAGCTAGAATGGCATGACCGTTTTGAGACAGGCTACGTGATAGGCCCAAAGCATCGACCCCGAAGACAGCCAACAGACGTGGGATTGCCTTTTGAGCAAAGCGAAGGCGGCGCGCCCATACAGCAATATCGTACTCCTCTCTTCCAATGTATTCCACGTCAAAATAGCTTACCGACATTCCAGCCAGTGTTTGAATAACCTGTTGTAGAATGACATCTCTGACCACATCCCATCGCGAGACCTTATTTCGCTTCAAAACCTCGGCCGGAGTGTGCAGACGATACTGTGGGAAAAGATCGTAGATATCAATGAGATGGTACACCATAGATAATCCCCAATATGCGACAATTGGCAGAATCAGAGCAAGAACGTTGTCTGGGATCGGCGCAAGAAGAGGAGGTCGGGGCGTCAAAGTGTAGCTCGGTAGAGGAGGGTAGTCATACTCGACGGATGCGTTGACTGCCATGGCTTGACTTTAGGGCGTCAACACCAGAATGCGTAGATGAGGAAGGATGGGCGCAATGTGATGAAACCAAGAGATCAACGCATGGATCTGTGAAATGAGGCAACGTTGGCGGAGGTTGTAGCAACGGCCGTCAGGAGTCAAGTTGCGGATGTTTTGAGGTCAAGGCCGAGATACGGGAAAGAACTGTGGAAACAAGCGGACGGGACACCGAATTGGCGAAGATCCTATGTAGAGAGATAGGAAGCGATGTCGAAAGAACCAACAGTTGATCGGGAGCCCTTTTTCCCTCAAAAGCGGTCCGCCACAGTCAGGGGACGCGCTGCAATAGGCACAACTACCAACGAACCGCGGATGCTGAGGTTGATCGACCAATTTGGGCGACGAAGGCACTTAGAAACCGATGTTCACCTCAGTCAAGAAACCAAGAACAAAGATCTATTGGGATATGGATTAATAAGAACTGGAGTAGGTGCAGAGATTTGGAGGACAGAAAAAGGGCCCTAGCAGTCCATCGCGATAAGTAGTAGATCGTCAAGTGGCACCACAAGAACTCAGATCCGGGCCGCCGACTTATCTAATCAACTGGAGATCATATGCCTGTTAAAAATGTACTGTACGATACACAGGTTTCTAGAGCGCTTATGCAAAATCCTCAGTGTAAATAATGTACTGTAATTACAATAACACGCCGTTCTGTCAGAAGGCGCCCCTGAAGCAGTCAAACCACCCTCCACAGTGCTACACTCGGGCTTGAGTTTCACTGATCTAGTGATTGCCACTGACAGCACCTAGACTCTATCCCATAGACTATCTGGAGCTTGTCCACATTCTGGGCAAAGTTGTTCTGGTGTGGCAATTCTGCTAGGTATCCCCATCTGTCAACTGCTTGGGCCAGACAAGTCCACCAGTCCCAAAGAGGCTTAGCTCTATTTAGCCCCTCGAGAATCGCAGGTGAAAAAAAAAAGACCCCACCAAAAGTTGGAACGGGCGCCACTAAAAACTTCTATTTTACCCCCTCTTTGGGTTCTTTCCGGCGACTGTTTTCTTCTCTTCCTTCTCCTTCTCTTGATCTGTCCAGCCGTGTGCCATTCTCTTATATCTTCATCCTTTCTTCTTTCGTTGTGAAGTTTTTTCTCTCATCACATAATTCAAAATGATCATTTACAAGGTATGTACCTTTGCTTTGGACGCTACCCCACTATTTATGTCGGATGTGGCATGGATAGAGACAGTTGGATTTGTCAACATGGCATGCATATAGGCGCAAGTTGCTGACGTTCTTTTGCTTGTATAGGATATCATCTCGGACGACGAGGTCCTCGCTGACACCTACAACATCAAGGAGGTCGACGGTGTCCTTTACGAGTGCGACTGCCGCAAGTACCTCAAGAAGGCCAATGAGGACTTTCAGCTCGAGGGTGCTAACCCCTCCGCTGAGGGTGAGGATGACGACGCCGGTGGTGAGGGTGAGGCTGTCATGGTTCACGACATCGAGGATCAGTTCCGTCTCGTCTGGCTCAAGACCGAGGAGGGCTTGAAGCCTTCCAAGGACCAGTTCAAGACCCACCTGAAGTGTATGTCGCCCATTTCAAGTCTGCCAATTATAGCCTCTCAAGCAGCCCACTGACACTTGTTTCTAGCCTACATGAAGAAGGTTCTCACCAGGCTTCAGGAGACCGGTGCTCCCGCTGAGGAGATTGAAAAATTCAAGAAGGGTGCCCCTGGCGCTGTCAAGAAGATCCTTGGCAACTATGACAACTACGATGTCCTTATGGGCCAGTCCATGAACGGTGATGCTATGTATGTTATGTCCACAGCTGTGATGAATCGGTCAATCCTTTACTAACCCATTACTAGGCACGTCCTGATTGACTTCCGTGAGGACGGTGTCACTCCCTACGCCACTCTCTGGAAGCACGGTCTCGTGGAAATGAAGGTTTAAATGTTCTGCAGTTATGAAGAATCTCATGATCCAAAATTAGGGAATTGGAGTCCGCGGTTGTTTTTAGTTCAAGCATACTGATGAGGTTGAGTGTTACTTGCCTGATCTCTGAAGTTTATACCACGCATCCAGCTATCTTTCTGTTATAGCTCCACTACACCGCATCTTCCATATCCTTCCAATATAGTTACGCCTCATGAATCCATATCTGTTATGCCCTATCCGCCTATCGGCTACTTGAAAATAAAATTATACCCCTACCCTTTAAGCGTCAATCATTATCACGAATTTTTATTTACATATACACAACAGTAAATTCTGAGCTACGTACAGTGTAATGTGAATAGCGGCAGTAGAGACGCCGATCAATCACCATAATCAGCAGTACGAAAACCACTCCGGATCTCGCACATCACCCATCCCCGTATCAGTGTCCCCAGCACTCCTATTACTACCAACATCCCTTGTATTCGCGAGATCGGCAAACTCGAATCCGGAGACTGGATCGAGCTCCATCAACTCGTCTGCAACAGGAAGATGCTGTCCAAAGACTGCATCCCACTCAGCCCAGTCGAAGTTAAGATTCGGATCGACCATGCTTGGCGGCGTAGGCGCTGCTCGTGGTTGCGAGGCAGGCAAGGATGTATCAATGTATGGCAAGGCGGCTGAGGACGATGTGAAGGCCGGTTGTGTGAACGGGATAGTCGAGGTGAGCGGTGGTATACTTCCCGGAGGAGAAATAGCCGAGCCAGAGAGTGTGTGTTCGACCGTGGGGATGGTCGTTGTAGGGGACGTAGAGAATCTGGGAGTCGAAACCATATGGGGAGTTGCAGGCACTGCACTTGGGACCGGAGGAGGTAGTTGGTATCGCAGGGGACTGGGTCGTAGGGCTGGGTTGGGAAGGAGATGAGAGCGTGTCATGTTGTAGAACATTTTCGAGAAATCCGTCAGCTGCTTTCGTGAGGTCAGTGGTGGAATAGTGGACGGTTTGCCGGAGGCTTGGGTCGGGTATGAGCTGGGGACCGGGGAGTGTTCAGGAAGTGTGGAGGGCACGCCAGCTCGGAACTGGGCCTGTTCAGTCCATAGTCTCTGTGGATCTAGGCCTGCTTTTTGCCACGCCTTTTGACGCAGTCGTCGGATCATATCCCATGCTTCGCGGCCTCCGTCTTTCAAAGGTCGCTGGGTCGTGATGCCATCCTCTCCGCCAACGACTCCGCCATCGGGACCTGAAAGTGAGAATATCTTGTCGATGAACGCCCTTGACTTGGAAGCCTCGGAGCTATAGGGTCGTTCGTAAAGATCAATCAACATGATCATGGTTGCGTGCATCGGCTGATGATTTCCGGGCCAGCTCCATTGGAAGGGCTGGAAATCTGGATCGGTGGCCAGGGATATGAACTTCTCCATAAAGCCATGACAGTGGCGGAGCGCGCTATCTCCATCAGAAACTTGCAATGTAACCTTAAAGGGCATCATCAGACTTACCTTTGTCTAGCGGTCGGCCAGATACGGCTTTTGGCGTTCTTGAGAAACGGCTGATAAGCAACGCAAAAAGCCTGTTCAGGGACTTGATTAACATTGATTTCAATGATGTCGGCCTTTGCATCTTACCTTATCAATGAAAAGAGAGAGAAGTATTCTCGCCCACTTGTGAAAGGCTACGAGAACATGAGAATGATATTGTTCTGGACACCCATTTGGGCCGTCGCCAGGTAGTTCGGTTTCACCGGATCGAGCCTCAACAGGGGAGCGGGATGCGAAGGATCGGGATCTGTCCGAGTTAAGGGAGTGGACCTCTTGGTCCTTTGCTTCAGGAATTCTGTTGATAATCGAGTTCAGTTTGAGCTGGAGATCGACCAATATGGAACGAAGCTCCTCCATATCTCGTCGTGTGACAGGTTCGGTGCCTAGTTGGATCTTCATTATACGACGGACAGCACCTTTAAATGTCGAGTCAGTCACCAGGCCAGTAAGCAAGACGTTAGAAGTCACTTACGAGCCATGACATATTTGCCCCGTGCTGACAGATAGTACACGTTTACCATCGATGGACCGCCACAGATCGTGGGGTCATCTGGGTCATCTCGTGGCCGCAGACCAGCAGCGACCAATCTCTCATACTGTTCGGCTTCCGCAGTGCCTAGGAGCGTGTCTTTGACTTCACTGGTCTCCTGGACATCCCAGTACTTCTCGTCACTGACAAGAGGTGGAAGTCCACTGGACATAGCGACAACGCCATCCATATGCAAAATATGCCACCATATCCGGCGACGATACTCTGCTTCGCAGGGTTCAATGCCGAAATTAGCAGGGTCCCGATGCAGGCCCATTGTTTGTGCAACCCGCATAGAAAGACTAATGAATAAACTGCTCGTTAAAGGTTCTTCCTCTCTGGAGAGAATCGTCTGTACTAGAAGATAGGCAGCGAGCCCCTGTAATGATTGGCTTCGGGGAAATGATATCTCGGTCAACCATCGTGTAACCTCGTCGTTGTAGACCTTGGAAAGCGCGGATCGTGACGAGACATTGAACTCAGCCTTGATAGTCCGTATTGAGATGGTGACTGAGCCGCCATACCAGATAGCGTAGAGTAGCGGGATAAACGACGGATCTGGACATGACTCCCCAGAGTAGCTGCTATAATCGTACCAATCCCAGAAAGCATTGTACAATTTAAGGATAGTAGGTGGATGAATGACTGGACTTATGGCATGAATTCCGGACATGAAACCTTTGTAGAGTATATGGCTTTGCCGTTTAGTGGGGATATGGTCAAGCATGTCGGGCTCAACCACCTTGTGTTTGACGGACGGCGACTCGCTCGAGGGGAACAAGATGGACTTCTGAAAGGTCTCGCCACGAGAGAACCTGTCTCCAACTATCGCATCGGGGCTTTCCGCTGATACCGAGCTCTTCCATTGACGGTCGGGCGTCCTGGCCATATCTTCACCATAGTTTTCGTTGCGTGCAGACTCGTTGTGTGAGCGATTCTGATCTCTGAGCAATTGATTGAGTTCATTGATCTGCATCTTTTCAGCTTGCAGCCCTAAGGAGTAGG